ACACTGTCCCTTCCTTCACATACTGGTCAAAGAAAGTCACAAGGCCAGATTCAAAGGGCTGGGATATAGACACCATCACTTTATGGGAGGAAGTGCAAAAACTATGTGGCTGTTTCTAATATACCAAACAAGGAGCATTGTTATTCCATTCCGTGGGTGCCAAAATCCTTCCAAATGCACCAATTCATAAGTAATAGAAGCAGTATTTGAGCCCAGATCTCTCTAAATCCCCAGTTCTTCTACTCTGTACTATACCAGAGCACCTTAGGTAACCTTCCTTTTCCTCCTTTCCATTCTCTTTCTTTCTCCTCCTTTGCCTCTCTCTATCCATGTCCAGACTCTAAGAGGAGGAAGCAGAAGAAAGAAAGGGTGGGATGCAGTGAAATTCACACCAGAGTTATGTGCCACGCTCTCTGAGTAACTAGCATCTTAGGGAAACAAGGCCAGCAGTAAGACACATTTTAGGTGAATATTTTTACACCTTTCTTTCTTGTTTTCTTTTCACCAAATAGTGTGTTCAAGTCCCAATTTCCCCTGTTACTAGCTGTATACTTGGCAAGGTACTTACCCACTCAGCCTCCATGTGCTCATCTGTAAAATGAGAGTAATAATTCCTACATCTATGAGTTGTGAAGTTCGAATGAGATAATAATATATGCAAAAAACATTTTGAAAACCGTAGGGCACACACTAGCAATGCGATGAATTATTCATGCTTCTACTCGGGGTCAAAAAGGAAATATAGTCATGCTGACTGTGGTTCTGAAAACTGCCAGGTGCTTTCAAGGCTTTTCAGCGAAGTGTGGGTTTCAGACAAATGGGAAATCTAATAGACCGCTCTCTGCAGTTGGCTTCATTTCCAGCCAGCACAGATATGATTATAATTAGAGTTTCAAGAGTCTGTTTCACATCAAAAGGATTCCTTGGCCCAGTCTGCAGTCTACCTGAGGTATGTGGCCAGACGTGATCCCTGTGGCAGGTGTTTTTATTCAGGCCCATTTGCTTCTTTTCCTGTGCTACCAGGAGTGTCTGTTTCTATTATACTCATTATTTTCAGATACCAGGTGAGAAGAGACTTTCCATATGTGAGATTTCAGATGGTGACCACTGAGCAAAATGCATAGCTCTTGCCCCCTCTCCTCACTTCCTAAATGAACAGCAACTCAGACAAATTCACTTTAACAGAGCCAGGCCTTTTATTAGAAGCCAGAGAATAGTCTGTAATGGTAGGAATTACTCTGCCCATGCATTTCTCCCAGGAAAAACATTCGTTAGCCTGTCAAGGAAGTGAAACCTCTTATTAGAAACTGTAAAAAAAGTCAGTTTCTCCGTTTTTGCTGCTAAAGGATTCAGAACACATCTCACTGCACACCTGAAATTAACAATTCAACTGGAAGGAGAGGTGAGACCACTGGAGACAGGTGGAGATGGCTGAGTGAGCAGGACTCCAGATCAAAGCTCAGCCCAACCTGGGTGTTCATGATTTCAAACCCCATTATGGCCTTTTCTGCAGGGTGCTTTTGATCATCATAACTCTTCACTGGGCAAAGTGATGATAGCGGTAAGACTCACCCAGTGTTCAGAGACAGATTTTTTTTTTTTTTTTTTTTTTTTTGCTTCTTTTTATCTAGCTAATGATTTTCCAATTTTAGCCAGCAGTTCTGAGAAGCCACAACTGTCATAAGAGTCCTTGATGGGATTTCTCTGAGTAAAATTCAGAAGAAAAGCCCACATGTGTAAGGACAAAGAAGCAGGTTGGTTTCAAGCTGCCCCATTCGCCTTGCATTTATCCTTCTAAGCCATGGATTAAAACAAATGCTAACGATGGAGTTGAATTTTCAGGGAGAGGAAACAGCATCCAAGGTTTATGATCACTGGGGTCATAGGAATGGAGACTCCTCAAGGACAGACTCCAAGGAAAGGACACCTTATGCCCTACGGTCACCCACTATTCCTGCTGCACCAAACTATTGTTGGTTTTCAATTCTTGCATCTCATCAAGTCTATTATGCCATTGATTGCAAGAATATTATTTTAGGTATTAATGAGAAAGAAAAGTTGCTGCTAATTGAAGTAAGAAACATATGGAGAAATATACCAGGATGTTTCAGGCCACCAAGTCTTGTTTCTCTCTTGGGAGTGCCTCTTCTCTCACCTGCTCTTCTCCTACCTGTTATGGTCTCTCCAAAATCACATCTCCCGTAGATTTTGACTGGTATTTACCATCCAGTTCATGTGATTTTTGGAAATTCATTGTGAGCTTCCTGTGAACAAAGATCATATTTTATTCATCTGGGGCCCATCAAAGCCATGGGAGGACACAGTGCTCCAGCACTTCTGCCCCTTCAACCACTTGAGGATGCAGCAGGAGGTGCCATCTATGAAGGAGAGAGCAAGCCCTCACCAGATACCAAATCAGCTGGTGCCTTGATTTTAAATTTCCCAGCCTCCAAAACTGTGAGAAATGAATTGCTATTATTAGAAATTACACAGTCTCAGGTATTTTGTTATAGCTGCGTGAACAGACTAACATACAACCCAGTCTCCATTGTATTCTTCCTTGATTGTGAGCAGCAGCACATCATGACCACATGCTACAGAAGCTGCTGTTTGGCTCTAGAGAGGGCACTGGCTGTTTCATGCCAGAATGAGGAGTGGAGCCATGTCCACAAGTGGAGACTGGAACACAGAGGAAGTAACTTGGGTGAGATGACTGAGCTGGGAAGCAACTGAAGGTGCATCCATTAGCCCTTTGCTAGGGAGCCCCTAGCAACCAGCCACTGTAATGCACCTCATGTGGCTCTTCGCTTGAGGCCAGGAGTTTGAGACCAGCCTGGCCAACACAGCAAGACCTCATCTCATATATATCTATATACACATACCTATGTGTGTGTGTGTGTGTGTGTGTGCATATATTATATTGTATTACATATGTAATATATATTATATTGTATTACATATGTAATTATATATTATATTATATTACATATATATTTTTTTTTATATATATATATAAACTTAAAGTCTCTTGCCTTTATTCTCCGACCCAGGCACAGTGCCAGGAACTTAGAGTTAGAGATGATAAGACCCCATTCCTGCCCTCAAGGAACATATGGTCTAATTCTAAACTCTCAGAAATAAAGTTTCAGAAAGGTGGGTACCTTGTTCAAAGTCACACCATTTGTAAGTGGCTCAAGTTTATGTCAAAGCCTCTCTCTTTTCAGCTGCACCATACTGCATCCTCTTATCACATAGCAATATGATTACTTATCATTATTTTTTAGTTGTAGTTGTTAAAATTTATTTAGCTCCACCTTTCACCCATCTTAATAGGTGATTATCAGAGACATAAACCAGGGTGTAAAAGTACATTATTAATGCCAAAAATACTTACTTGTATTAAATGCATTGGATATATTCATAATAAAAGTGAAATTGGTTATCTCTGGGTGGGTTGAGTGATGTTTATTATCTTTTCTTATACTGTTCTGTATTTTGTAAAATTAAAAAAATAAGTTTGTATTGTGTTTATATTTTTTGAAAAGTTATTTTTTAATAAAACAAATATATATGAAAGCGCAAGACCATAAAGTGCTGATAAGCATCAGCTACTAAATTAATTACAATGTAAGGAACACCTCAAGTGCCATGCATTAGGTTAGAAACACAACCCATCAACCTTGATAGTTAATGGTGATCAATGCATCCTCATGTAGGTACTCTCAGAGCCCAGGAAGACCGTGGTAATCCAGATTTCACTGTTACAGATGTGGTGAACCTTTCTCTCTGTCCAGAGACAGGGGACAGAACATCGAGACCAGAACACCATCAGACATTGCAGCATCTAGAAAGTAGAAGTCTCTCATTTCTTCATCAGCAATCTCTCATTTTATAGAAGATTTTACTTCTTTATGTATAGAAATGCCCAATTTTATTGTTCATATCCATTATCAGCCACCTTCCCTCAAGGAATCCTGGTGGGAATTTGGTTTAACTGATACCATGTGTATAAATGTGGGTCTGTAGCTCCTTGTACAGATGGACAATCATGAGCCTACTGCTGGCCCAGGCTCCCTGGAACATCTTTTGTAGGACATAAACCTTCCTTTGCCTTCTTAGAAATGAACCTCTGCCAGCAAGTGTCCATTCTTCTTACAGCAATGGAATCTCACAATTTCTTCTCACATACTGACTGATCTTTGACCAACCACTTGTTTATAAGGAAAAAAAAAAGAGTCCCTTTTCTCTGGAAAAAAAGGTTTGGCTTTCCCCTGCTGCTCAGAAAATTAAGGCAAGTGATAGAATCTTCTAGGAATGTCAGCCTAGGAGCTCTAGGCATTCACACTTACCATATATCAAAGTAACAGAAGGAATATTTTCCTAACTTAATACAATTGTCCATCTAGACACTTATCATGTTCATGCATGCTTTCAAGTAGTATGCTTTGTAGCTGTGAGGTAAAATAATATTTTACAATGTGTTATGATTTCAAAGACACACTCAGTCTCACTTTTATCTCATTTAACCATCACAGCAGCCCTATGGGAAACATATTACCTGCTTTGCAAGGAGGAAACCGGGTTCAGAAAAGCCACATGGTGAGTTCAAGATTACTAAGTCAGGACTCAATCCCAGATCTTTCAACTTCAAATGCTAGGCAATTTCCATCGCTTTTCCAAAATTAAAAATTGTATCCTGGATTCCCCTCCTACCAAGTGAATGTGTAGGATGGGAATGATCCTATTCTGCAGCCATCTACTGCAGAAAGGAGAGAAAGTGGGGGAAGAGAGAAGCTAATATCTGTTGAACTTCTGCTCCATGTGGGCTGTTTTCCTTGCACTAGCTCATGTAAACATCATCACTTTCTCTGTTTTGGAAAGGTTGGCCTTCTTAAGGACACACACACACACACACACACACACACACCCTTTCTTTCTCCTGTCTCTCCAGTTCAGTTTTCTGTAGGACACTAATGACATGTTCTTGTCCTCCCTGGCAGGGTGTGTGCTGGTGGTGTCTGTGATTGAACAGCTCGCTCAAGTTCACAACTCGACAGTCCAGGCCTCGATGGAGAGACTTTGCAGCTACCTGCCTGGTAAATATGGGACGGGTAATGCTGCTGGGGGTCTGCTTGTCCTCTCACTCCTGAGTCATCATGACTGCCTTTACTTCCTGCCCATGCTGACAGAGAAGAATCTGATTATGCTACTTCTGTAGGTTGATATTCTTATGGGGCTCATAGAAATTAAAACAAACAAACAAAAATGATCTAGACAACTTCTCCCTGACATTCATTTTCCATCATGGCACAATGAAATTGCTGTGGACCCTTAGGGAATAAACTGTTGAATGGCCGCCACATTACTAATAATTTGCTTACCTACTGATCATTGCCTTAAGTACTAAGAAGTCAAAATAATGAATAAATAATTTTATGTTAACATGACCAACATTCACATTCCAAGATGTACACCTAGCCCTACCAACACAGAGCTTTGGGTTGGGAGAACAACTGATCTCAAAATTTCAAATGGGAAAATAATCTAGAACATTTCATTAATTTAAACTGGATCTCAATAAAGTACCTTATACACCCACCAAAGGAAGAAACTGATTGAGTTCAAGCAAGTTGCATATTTGTTTTTCAATATTAGTAGAAATAAAATATTAATCATATTTCCATTATAGAATACTGTTACTCGAACAGTCATAATGAATAAACTTTTTTGAGAGTCAAATTTTTATTCACTTAATGGGAGCTAATTCATCTAGGGTGCCTACATTATTTTTTCTGTTAAGTCAGGTAGCTGGAATAATGGCAATTGTATCTTTGATTGACACAGTACGCTGTGCCAATAGCATCAAAGTCTTTTCAGAGAAGTTATTGCCTTTAGTCATAATATGCATTCACAGGCTAAAATGTTTAGAATTCAAAAACAAAGACTGGGAGAGGATAAGACACAAACACATGTATTTAGAATGTCCCAAATGGACCGTTAATATTTTAACATATTCACATCATAATTACATCTTTCTTTTGTGAAGTTAAAACATGGCACCTACACTTGGAACGCTTCAGCTTTCCCTTCCTCCAGTTCCATTCTCCCCTGCCCCACCTCCCTAGCAGGAACTCCTTCACGTGAACTTAATGGGTATCGTTCTTGTCAGATTTATATTTACACATTCACTTGTATGCATTCATGAATAATGTGTAATATTGTTCTGCCAGTAATTTTTTTGGTTTTTCTTTGTAAAATCAAGACAAAAGTAGAAAACCATGCGAAGCAAATGTGTAGCTTCATCGGTTACTGAACGATGAACGCCCTTGTAAACATAGTCTGGGTCAAGAAAGAACAGATCAATGGCGTCCTCTGAAGTCCCATTCACATGCCCCATCCCATCCTCCCCCTGCAAAAAGCTCAATGTGCTGATTTTTAAGGTAAAATTATTTTATTGCATTTCTTTATAGCTTTATCACTCAGTGGGCATCCCTAGATACCATAACCTTGCCCAATATTTAAAATTTTGATGCGTCTTTTGAGTTTATTTTAATCTGTAAGTTTCCTTTCCACCCCTTCCTTTTTCTTCTCACTTAGCTGTGGAATTTGACCTGTGGAGTTTCCCACAGTCTGGATGGTGTTGATTGCATTCCTGTAGTATAATTAAGTATGTTTCTCTATGCTCTGTATTTCCTGAAAATCGGCAGCTTGATCAGAGGTTTGATCCTATTCCAATCTGATTCCTTTGACAAGCCTACAAATGATATTGTTTTCTTTCATCAGGAAGCCGCCATAGGTGCTTTTATCTTTTATGTGTTTTCTTTTCTTTCTCCTTCTGTTTTTTTTTTTTTTTTTTTTTTTTAGACAAAGTCTCAGTCTGTTGCCCAGGCTGGAGTGCTCACTGCAGCCTTGACCTCCTGGGTTCATGAGATCCTCCTGCTTCAGCTTCCCAAGGATCTGAGACTACAGGCATACACCATCACACCAGCTAATTTGAAATTTTTTTGGAGAGACAGGGTCTCTCTGTGTTGCCCAAGCTGGTCACTAACTCCTGGCCTCAAGTGATCTGTCCACCTTGGCCTCCCAAAGCACTGAGATGACAGGTCCGTTGTGAGCCACTGTGCCAGGACTCTCTTTTGGTGATGGTCGCAGTTGTCGATGTTCAATGATGAGATCTATTAATTCATTGGGATTTTAGAAACTGTGATATTCAAATCTATTATTTATTTCTTACTTATTAATTGACATATATTGGACACTTTCTCACATCATATTTTAGAGACATTTTTCCCACAGTACTTAGTGGAAAGGCATCTAGGAAAGGCAGGATAAGTGTTTGATTCTTTTCTTGTATCAGTTTTCAAGATAATGCATTGGTTTTCTGTTATCATCTCACAGCAAGCAATTAGTTTTTCCTTAAAATATCATGATAAACTTATGAACTTATGAACTTAAACATACTGATGGGTTTCAGTCAAGTGCAATTATTATCCTTATGAAGCTCAGATGATCCCATTGAGCTTTGACCAGTGGCACTTCCTTCAAGCTGACTCAAGTCTTTTGCACATGAGCCTCAGTCACCTTCAATAGTTTCCTCACTAACTGGTATGACAAAGTGTTCCAGCCGTGTCTTGTACATATCAAGCCCGAGGCTTGAAATCAGTCATTTCTCTTAAAAGCCCTGGTTTCTTTTAGTGAGAAATAATGTTTCAAGACCATAAACCAGATGCTTAGGAATGTTCATTATTGTTACTGAATTGGCCACTCTTTTTTTTTTTTTTTTTTTTTTTTTTGAGACAGAGTCTTGCTCTGTTGCCCAGGCTGGAGTGCAGTGACTCGATCTTGGCTCACTGCAACCTCTGCCACCCTTGTTCAAGCGATTTTCCTGTCTCAGCCTCCCGGGTAGCTGGGATTACAGGCGCCTGCCACCACGCCTGGCTAATTTGAGCTGACCATTCTTTCTAGGCCTCTTCAGTGGACAGAAATAGGAAACCTATGTATATACATTTACGCATGTCAACTTTAAGATAAAATATCTGAATTCATACTGACACTTCAAATTCAAGTTCAGAACCACAAAATTTTTTTCTTAAAGTCTTCTGTATTGTATCTATATCTCCTTTCCACACAAAGTCCCAATTGTAAAGCACAAAGGGATTGATAGAATTTAAATCTCCAATCGTTACTCATTTACCTATCCTTCCTTGCACATAAAACAATCTCAGAATATCAATTCTAATGCTACCATCATTAATATATTTTCTAATTCTTATGAGCAGTTAAAATTTTTTTTTGCATCTGCCTTTCTCGTTTCTCTACCCTTTTTAATCATTGTCCTACATTATCTGAGCATATAACCACTGCATATAACGCCCGTTCCCTTTTCACCCTCATTTAGTCTCAGCTGCATCAGCACCTAATGATTAATGTTCACCACCAGCCCTTATATGAGTTGTCTCTCTAGTTGAATTGTTGTCTAAAGTTCATTCCTCCAGAAGGGCTCATAGCAACAAGTATTACTTGCATTCTTGCATGTTGATAACAGGCTGTCTGTGCCCTTTATACATGAAAGTCAAGGCTTTTCTGTATATAAAACTCCTTGGCACATAATGTCTTTCCCGGAGCATCTTAAATACAGTATTCAAAAGCCTATTGATAATCTAATTTACCTTGTCCTTCCAAGTTATTTGCTGTTTATACTTTGAAGTTCAGAGGATTTTTTTCTATAAAATTTAGTCATCTAACTAGAAGATAACTTGGCCAGCTGCTGTGTATTGATGTTGTCAGCCATGCAGTGCGCTCTCTCGATGTGATTTCAAATACACATTTTCTGATTTTAGGAATGTTTTAGTGTTTGTTCGGTTTCCTTGATTTTGTTTCTTTCCTCTGGGATTTCTATCATCCACATTTTGAATCTTCTTTGCCTGTCTTTGCTATTTTGCCTATCTCTTGAATGTATTTTAATCCCTATTTTTTTATCTTAAAATTGTTTCTCCTCTCCACCTTCTATTTCACTCGAGACTTCGTCTACTGTTTTCACTTATTCTTGTATTCATTCTAGTTGAGATTTCACTTCTTTATTCTTTATTTCATGTTTTATTTTTTCCTGAGTTATTTTATTCCATATCTGAGTTTTTCTAATTCTTATTCTTGCTATTTTTTCATGTCTTATATCATTTTATTAATGCCTCTTGGCTCATTTTAAAATAATATGTTTAGAAATAATATGTTATGTTTTAATCCTTTTTTGGCATGACTTTCTGGCATGCTTTTACTATCTGCAGGGATGTTATTCTGTTCCTTAATCTTTTTCTTCTTATAATAACTTTGTATGGGAGTTGACCTAGATCCATTTCTGTTGCTCATTTTTATGTGAAATTAGTTTTCAAAAACCCTTAGAAAGAGACGTGGTTCAGGGTAGTTTTTCTAAATGCACAGAGCTCCTTCTTCTGTTGTTTTGGGGTAGTGTTAAAAAAAAATTGTGGCAGCTTGCTTTCTGAGATTTTCTGACTGTTTCCCTATTCACTTTCATCTGGACTTTCTCTATACCCAGCAGTTTCTCCTCAGTGTGTGCCTTGCCCTGGAAGGGAACTCCAGTGGGTCCCTTGTGGGTGCCAGATGACTCTAGTCCCTAATTCTCTCTAGTCTTGAACTCCTTGCATTCACCAACTGTTGATTGCACAAAACCCCTCCCTGTCCAGCAGTTGTTCTCTAATTGGCCCACCATGCTTTCCACCCAATACCTGTCAGCTATCTGGGGATTCTCCTGTTCTCAGTTTTATCTGTCATCCATTGCTTCCCTCTACTTTCTCCCTTACAGAAGTTGATGGCCCATAGGTCTTGTGGTTGTAAAGTGGTTTATTCTCACCTAATTGCACATTGGGGTTCATGGATATACCCAGCCTTGTGGTAACTGCTTTCTGTGGGTTTTCGGTCTTGCTATTCAGGTACTCTTTTTTTTTTTTGGAGACAGAGTCTTGCTCTGTCACCTAGGCTGAGGTGCGGTGGCGCAATCTCGGCTCACTGCAACCTCTGCCTCCCGGGTTCAAGCGATTCTCCCGCCTCAGCCTCCTGAGTAGCTGGGATTATAGGCACC